AGAGAGAGAGAGAGAGAGAGAGAGAGAGAGAGAGAGAGAGAGTTTGCCTTCAGTGTGAGTACGTATGTAAGTCCGAGTGTGTGTTTGCCTGGAAACTGACATTTCCTGTTGTCGTGACTTGCAGGGATTGCATTATGTAAAATTTGGTTTCCCTAGAGTACATCATCTTCTTCTTCTTATAATCCTCGATCTCTCATTTGAAGTTCATTTATTTCATTTTGCAATTGTATGTCATTGTACCATTAGATGTGTGAAAAAAACGATTCTAATCCTTGCTCTCGCCACTGTAGTTCAAAAAACTCACATAAGATACCATCAGATGTGTGAAAAAAAAAAAACAAAAAAACGCATATATATATATATACCACTCGGTTGTCTGACGATTTTTTTTCGGCACTCACACACAGACAATCTCAAACACGCCCACACATGCATAAGAAGAGGGGGAGAGGTGACAGAGTCAAGACTGCACACAGACAAGGATAAGCAGCGAGATTCAACCATGCACACATGGGGGAGGTCAGACAATGACTCTCACTCTCCGACAGACTCCCAACAAACAATCACAATAAAGAACCTCRACAAAATCACAATTCATATGATGATGATGATGAACCAACTCGAACGAATATCATAACAGAGTTTGTTCCACTCCTTTGCTCCCCAATCGATTTCCCTCATTCTACTAATAGAGTACATTAATCTAACCTACACCTATACCGGACAGACTAACCAACCAACACCGTTGCAGTTTCGGCCTCTCGGCCTCTACCGCACCCGACTATAGGCTATAGAACCGTCTATCAGCTTAGGCCATTAGGGCCTGTCTGTCCTGGGGGTAGTCCGGGCCCGCTATTCACAGCAAGGGTACGTATAGGAAATTCGAAATACTGTTGGGCCTGTATTTTCCATATTTACAGATATGGCCGTCACGAATTTTCCTCACAGGTTCGTCTCACGATTAGCCCTCAGTCGAACAAAATTACAAATGTGACCATAAGGGGTAGTATACAGCCTCGCCATCAGTCTTGGAAGTCAGACTGACCAAAAATAGAGATGTATATACAAGTAAAGAGACAGACATAATGTAGCGTAACAAACAAAACACCATGACATGTGTGTGAACAACGCCATGTACAATGAAATTCRGATGACCACACCGATGTCAGGTCAACRATAAAGCCATTCAACCAGTCAAACGCTGAACAACWCTATATCGTCACCCTCAGATTCGGAGCTCAATGTCTGGACCCAATCATCGCATGCAGGCACCGCATCGTCCTCCACRTGACCGATGATGAAAACACGGTTATCYCCCACCGCCTCATGGTCGGAATCCGAGGCAGCATCATCAACGACTTCCACTGGGTCGCCCCCACCGTTGACAAACAAATCACGCGRCAATGGCCCGACTCCATAAGGACAAACCTCATGCCGCAGAAGCTCTYGAGCCCAGTCTGAAACATGAGCYGAACCGAAGACTGAYRCCGCCAATCTGTCCTCCCAACAGTCGATCGCCTCGTGACCGTAGTGTCGACRGAAGCCTGGTCTCGCACGTATGGAAGTGCCAGCAGCAATGCGARCAACATASCYGACCGGGTCGCGCCAGCAGTGACTGTTCCAGCGAATCACTGCGATCGACAAACGTGCAYAGAAAGACTTCTCGAMATGCACTGACTTCTTCGCATAGATAATGATGGTGCCCTGAAAAGTCTCCACCGCYGATGTGTGYCGAAACTCGAYGTAGTACGGCGTGATGTTAGTGCTGCATTGTTTATYGAGAACAYGCAGAACGAGMTCGTAGACCGTGTCCRTGCRGCTACACAAAGGCAATCGTGCATGCCCACCAGCCTTCTCCCAGAGAACCTCCCTACCGTCCGTCCACACATCCTGAAYGATCACYAGCCCAATGATCGGCGACCAACATGATGTCGCGGTGTAGACTGTCGGCGTCTCCGCCCTYGTCCCTGCACAGCTGGCAAGCGCGGAGGAACCACATCCTAACCTCATGCGCATGATACTCTGTCAAGCCGTCTGGATCAGTCTCCAACACTCRAGGATTCAACCTCGATCCGTAGGGGTACATCTTTCGCATGACGACAGCGACGAAGTCCGATTTCTTCAGCCGCTCCTCAGCAGGTGTGAGGACGTCAGGTCCAAAACRCTGCTCCAACGCCTCCTTTAGCCGCTTCTTCGTGAACTGCATGAACTGCACCTCTGATACACAGTCGTGGGGGCTGCTCACTTTCTTCGCTTCCTTCAGTTGCAGCATACTGTGGAAGTGCTTTCGAATGTTTTTTATTTTGTGGTGGCAATCCTTCTGCCACTCGATGTTCATAGCTCGCAACTTCGGTCCCAGCACCGCACAATCATCCGAAACAACGCACCGGATCTTCAACCCCTTGTCCATCAGCCCTCGCAAAAGTTGCACGACGGCTTGCACCTCAAGCGCATTCGATGCCTTGCCTTCAATCTTCGGAYAGAGAGTGTGAACACCTACAACAAGCCGAGTCCCGTACTCCATCGCGGTGACAGTGCAATGTTGCGCGCCTCTGGCAGAGTCATATCGACCATCAACCATCAATGTCACTGGCTCACCACGGCGCATCACAGTGTCAATGGCAAGCTTGCAATATTTTATGCCCTGCCGTACGACCTTGGCATTCCATCCCTTCGCCCCCCCCGGTTCAGTGCGCATAAACTTGTAGAATGTGGGTTTGTGCACCGAGCACATCCCTAAACAAACACAAAAGTTGTCGAGTAGCGTAAACGTAAGGCCGGCGGTGACCGTCGTATGAAAGAGCTGCTGCATCAGTCGCGACTGATAGACGTTCGTGGTCACGAGTGCCGTGTGCCACATCCATTTGCATTTCTTGTCGCATACGAATGTCAGCTTGCCGAGCTGCGCAGGATACGAGACGGACTCCACAGACACACGGCACGAGCCCTTGTGCCACGGGCAATATAGATGAAAGAGGCGAGCAATTGAAGAAGCTTAACCGGCTCCAGAAACACAACATCCGGCGTCGTCGGTCCACTCCATCTAGCCATCGCCTTCTCAACACTCGTACGGTCAATTTCAGGTCCAGGACCGCACTGGTCAACACCGTCCCAACTATCCCACCACGTCTGCGGCGGGCAGGTGTTGGTGTGCAACGACCCGCGCTGCGGGGTCTGTCGCGCCCTCTGTCATTGCGATGCGATGCACGACGCGATGACGGGAATGAGTTCTGCGATCCGTCATGAGACTCACCCAAGCCTCCGCTCGCTGAACCCTGCGAGCCCCCCTGACTGTAATCAACATCGGAATCGCCTGGCATATAACGCAACGTGAAATCTCGACCGCACACCCGAGATGGCAACGAAGAAGAAATCACATCTCCTACCTCGTCTCCAAACTCCGCTCGGATGGCTGGCAAGGACCAGTGCAGCAGCCGATCAATAACGTCGCTGACCAGTCCGCGCTGGTCACCCAGATCGGCCAAGGCGTCGCGGAGAGCGTACAACCGTCTCCGACACGCGTCCCGCACACAGATTCGCACGATGCTGCCGCCCGAACACGGCGTGCCGCCGACTGCCGCTGAGCTATCTGCATCGTCAAACGGAGGTGTGGAATCTGGAGCGACAAAGGGAGCCTGAGGCGGCACCGCAAACGAACCCGCCGCCTCGTCGACGACTCGTCGACATGAAACGGGTGGAGAACGCAAAGCGTCGCTGTGATCTCCTGGAAGAGAACCGCCTCCAGCAGGACATGGCGGGGCCACCGCATGTGACCATACAGGTGCTAAAGGAATCGTGGCCGCATAGTCCAGCCGTCTAGGCAGCAGTGGGGATGGCAGCAACGGAGCTCCATACACACCTCCAAACGTGGCCGCGTCACAGAACCCGGCCACACCCGGCGGAGATGCCCCCAACACACCGGTGAAAGGCGATATGGGGGCATCTCCGCCGGGTGTGGCCGGGTTCCGTGACGCGGCCACGTTTGGAGGTGTGTATGGAGCTCCGTTGCTGCCATCCCCACTGCTGCCTAGACGGCTGGACTATGCGGCCACGATTCCTTTAGCACCTGTATGGTCACATGCGGTGGCCCCGCCATGTCCTGCTGGAGGCGGTTCTCTTCCAGGAGATCGCAGCGACGCTTTGCGTTCTCCACCCGTTTCATGTCGACGAGTCGTCGACGCGGCGGCGGGTTCGTTTGCGGTGCCGCCTCAGGCTCCCTTTGTCGCTCCAGATTCGACACCTCCGTTTGACGATGCGGATAGCTCAGCGGCAGTTGGCGGCACGCCGTGTTCGGGCGGCAGCATCGTGCGAATCTGTGTGCGGGACGCGTGTCGGAGACGGTTGTACGCTCTCCGCGACGCCATGGCCGATCTGGGTGACCAGCGCGGACCGGTCAGCGACGTTATTGATCGGCTGCTGCACTGGTCCTTGCCAGCCATCCGAGCGGAGTTTGGAGACGAGGTAGGAGATGTGATTTCTTCTTCGTTGCCATCTCGGGTCGTTATATGCCAGGCGATTCCGATGTTGACTACGGTCAGGGGGGCTCGCAGGGTTCAGCGAGCGGAGGCTTGGGTGAGTCTCATGACGGATCGCAAAACTCATTCCCGTCATCGCGTCGTGCATCGCAGCGCAGTGACAGAGGGCGCGACAGACCCCGCAGCGCGGGTCGTTGCACACCGACACCTGCCCGGCTGCAGACGTGGTGGGATAGTTGGGACGGTGTTGACCAGTGCGGTCCTGGACCTGAAATTGACCGTACCAGTGTTGAGAAGGCGATGGCTAGATGGAGTGGACCGACGACGCCGGATGTTGTGTTTCTGGAGCCGGTTAAGCTTCTTCAATTGCTCGCCATGTTTCATCTATATTGCCCGTGGCACAAGGGCTCGTGCCGTGTGTCTGTGGAGTCCGTCTCGTATCCTGCGCAGCTTTGCAAGCTGACGTTCGTATGCGACAAGAAATGCAAATGCGCTACTCGACAACTTTTGTGTTTGTTTAGGGATGTGCTCGGTGCACAAACCCACATTCTACAAGTTTATGCGCACTGAACCGGGGGGGGCGGAGGGATGGAATGCCAAGGTCGTACGGCAGGGCATAAAATATTGCAAGCTTGCCATTGACACTGTGATGCGCCGTGGTGAGCCAGTGACATTGATGGTTGATGGTCGATATGACTCTGCCAGAGGCGCGCAACATTGCACTGTCACCGCGATGGAGTACGGGACTCGGCTTGTTGTAGGTGTTCACACTCTCCGTCCGAAGATTGAAGGCAAGGCATCGAATGCGCTTGAGGTGCAAGCCGTCGTGCAACTTTTGCGAGGGATGATGGACAAGGGGTTGAAGATCCGGTGTGTTGTTTCGGATGATTGTGCGGCGCTGGGACCGAAGTTGCGAGCTATGAACATCTAGTGGCAGAAGGATTGCCACCACAAAATAAAAAACATTCGAAAGCACTTCCACAGTATGCTGCAACTGAAGGAAGCGAAGCAAGTGAGCAGCCCCCACGACTGTGTATCAGAGGTGCAGTTCATGCACTTCACGAAGAAGCGGCTAAAGGAGGCGTTGGAGCAGTGTTTTGGACCTGACGTCCTCACACCTGCTGAGGAGCGGCTGAAGAAATCGGACTTCGTCGCTGTCGTCATGCGAAAGATGTACCCCTACGGATCGAGGTTGAATCCTYGAGTGTTGGAGACTGATCCAGACGGCTTGACAGAGTATCATGCGCATGAGGTTAGGATGTGGTTCCTCCGCGCTTGCCAGCTGTGCAGGGACRAGGGCGGAGACGCCGACAGTCTACACCGCGACATCATGTTGGTCGCCGATCATTGGGCTRGTGATCRTTCAGGATGTGTGGACGGACGGTAGGGAGGTTCTCTGGRAGAAGGCYGGTGGGCRTGCACGATTGCCTTTGTGTAGCYGCAYGGACACGGTCTACGAKCTCGTTCTGCRTGTTCTCRATAAACAATGCAGCACTAACATCACGCCGTACTACRTCGAGTTTCGRCACACATCRGCGGTGGAGACTTTTCAGGGCACCATCATTATCTATGCGAAGAAGTCAGTGCATKTCGAGAAGTCTTTCTRTGCACGTTTGTCGATCGCAGTGATTCGCTGGAACAGTCACTGCTGGCGCGACCCGGTCRGSTATGTTGYTCGCATTGCTGCTGGCACTTCCATACGTGCGAGACCAGGCTTCYGTCGACACTACGGTCACGAGGCGATCGACTGTTGGGAGGACAGATTGGCGGYRTCAGTCTTCGGTTCRGCTCATGTTTCAGACTGGGCTCRAGAGCTTCTGCGGCATGAGGTTTGTCCTTATGGAGTCGGGCCATTGYCGCGTGATTTGTTTGTCAACGGTGGGGGCGACCCAGTGGAAGTCGTTGATGATGCTGCCTCGGATTCCGACCATGAGGCGGTGGGRGATAACCGTGTTTTCATCATCGGTCAYGTGGAGGACGATGCGGTGCCTGCATGCGATGATTGGGTCCAGACATTGAGCTCCGAATCTGAGGGTGACGATATAGAGTTGTTCAGCGTTTGACTGGTTGAATGGCTTTATYGTTGACCTGACATCGGTGTGGTCATCYGAATTTCATTGTACATGGCGTTGTTCACACACATGTCATGGTGTTTTGTTTGTTACGCTACATTATGTCTGTCTCKTTACTTGTATATACATCTCTATTTTTGGTCAGTCTGACTTCCAAGACTGATGGCGAGGCTGTATACTACCCCYTATGGTCACATTTGTAATTTTGTTCGACTGAGGGCTAATCGTGAGACGAACCTGTGAGGAAAATTCGTGACGGCCATATCTGTAAATATGGAAAATACAGGCCCAACAGTATTTCGAATTTCCTATACGTACCCTTGCTGCGAATAGCAGGCCCGGACTACCCCCAGGAGAGACAGGCCCTAATGGCCTAAGCTGATAGACGGTTCTATAGCCTATAGTCGGGTTCGGTAGAGGCCGAGAGGCCGAAACTGCAACGGTGTTGGCCGGTTAGTCAGTCCGGTATAGGTGTAGGTTAGATTAATGTACTCTATTAGTAGAATGAGGGAAATCGATTGGGGAGCAAGGGACTAGAACAAACTCTGTTATGATATTCGTTCGAGTTGGCTCATCATCAGCATCATATGAATTGTGATCTTGCTGAGGTTCTTTATTGTGATTGTTTGTTGGGAGTCTGTCGGAGAGTGAGAGTCATTGTCTGACCTCCCCCATGTGTGCATGGTTGAATCTCGCTGCTTATCCTTGTCTGTGTGCAGTTTTGACTCTGTCACCTCTCCCCCTCTTCTTATGCATGTGTGGGCGTGTTTGAGATCGTCTGTGTGTGAGTGCCGGAAAAAAATCGTCAGACAACCGAGTGATATATATAGTAGTTCTATCTGAAAAATCTGATATTAGTAGTTCGTTTTTACATGACAAATATCTTAAAATTTCTGATAAATCGCATTTCGTTTTGTCTAAAAATTCCCGATAGTAGCAATTCGTTTCTCTGATATTTCGCATACATAGCTGAAATTTTTGAAGTTAGTATTTTCGTTCTCTAGGCATATTGGGATAACGATAGAAGTGGTCATATTCTCGAAAACTGAAATTATTCTTTTTTGAAAATCGTTTTTCCATTCTATCTCGTAATTTTTTTTTGAAAACCGAATCTTGCGAAGCCTACCAATATTGCGTTAAGCATATTCGGAGGTTGCTATATTATCAGAAACTGGATTTTGTTCTTTTATGAAAATCGCATCTTTACTCCATTTCGCCAAAAAAAAATTTTCAAGATCGCAGTTTGTAAAAGCCAAAAACTTTGCGGCACCTAGCCTAGATCTCGTTCATAATACTCTTCTGATATATCCTACTCATCATAAATCGACAGATATAGACAAAAAAAAAAAAAAAAGTAAGTAGTCCTCTTTTATTTTTTTATTTTTTATTTTATCTGTTGATTAGGGCCGGAGGAAAGTCTTGTTGGGTTGGTTACCTACCTACATTGTCCCTCCCACCCACCCCTTGCATGCATCCCGGTTCGGTACAGTGCCAGATCAGTAGTGCCACGTCACAGTGCCAGGTCACAGTGCCACGTCAGCAGTGCCACGTCACAGTGCCAGATCAGCAGTGCCGCGTAAGCAGTGCCAGGTCACAGTGCCACGTAAGCAGTGCCACATCAGCAGTGCCACGTCAGACACAGTGCCACGTAAGCAGTGCCACATCAGCAGTGCCCCATTAGCAGTGCCACGTCAGACACAGTGCCACGTAAGCAGTGCCACATCAACAGTGCCACGTCAGACAAAGTGCCACGTCAGCAACATGACGGGCCTGCCAGGCCAACTGCCCAACGAGTCCCTTGCCGCCTACAAGCAGCGTTGCCTGGCTCAGATAGAGGCTGAGGAACAACGCCTGCTGGCAGTCGAGGCTGCCCGCGTACAGGCTGAAGAGGCAGCAGCAGCAGAGAAGCTGCGGCTACAGGCCGATGCAGACGCAGATTCCCAGGCTCGCTGCAAGGAAGCCCAGGATCTGCTACAGCGGCATGAAGCCACAAGCATCGACAGACTCAAGTTCTGGCTTTTTGAACCGAACGGCGACGAGGCAACA